AAAAATCGTCAAGAAAATTTCAAAATCAAACCCATGAAATATATGTACAGTGAAGATTTTTTCTAGAAAATCAAGTGAGAAACCCTTGATGAGAAGTGTAGTGAGAGAGATTTATGAAATCTGCCTCTCTGTGGTAGTGATGAGTGCGGTGGTGAGTGCGGGGGGTGGTGAATGTGGGGGTGGTGGTGATGAGTGTGGTGGTGATGAGTGTGGTGGTGATGAGTGTGGTGATGGTGAGTGGTGGTAGTGAGTGTGAGGGTGGAGGTGATGAGTGTGGTGGTAATGACTGTGGTGGTTGTGATGGTGGTGGTGGTGGTGGTGTGGTGTGTGTGTGTGTGTGTGTGTGTGTGTGTGTGTGTGTGTGTGTGTGTGTGTGTGTGTGTGTGTGTGCTGTGCAAGGGGTAATGGATGGGAGTGTAGTGGTGGTAGGTGATTGTAGTGGTGAGTGAGTATGGTGGTGATGTGAATGGTTGTCGTTTTGAGTGAAGTTTTGGGTGTGAGGTGGGTGTTTATGGAAGTGATGGTGGTGAGTGTGGTGGTGTGTGTGTGTGGTGGTGAGTGTGGTGGTGTGTGTGGTGGTAGTGATCATGGAGGTAGATGCATTAGTGTAGTGGCAGTGTAAACGTGGCAAGTGAAGAGGTTAGTATACGTGTGGTAAGTATGATGGTGTAGTGCTAAGTGACTGTGGTGGATGAGTGTAGTAGTGATGGATGCAGTACTGGCGTTGGGCAATGGCTGTATGCTTAATGGTCATGTAAATGATATGTAATGGCTGACGTCTACCAGTGTAAACATCACAAGAATAACACGTCATGGGCTCAGGTCACAATCTCCATCAGGCAGTAAAGATGACCAGCTGGGCCTACTTCAGGTCGTTCGTCCACGGAGACCATCTACCCATTGACCAACACTTCCCATACTTGTCCATCTTCTGTTCTCAAAGGAAGATGATGTGTTATTTTTTAGCATAGAAAAGACAATATTTTTTTATATATTTTTCCTTCAGACATTTTGTATTGGAAGCCAATTTAAATTTACGTGTTAATACACTTTGACTATTTAAGAGTTAAGAAAAAGAGGAGACGACTTTACACCTTTTTGTGTATGATTATTTACGCAAGGTTTGATACAGTTTTTGTTTACATTTTTTAATGTAAAATCGCCTCTAATAAAGAATAACATAGCATTATTTAAACATCATGTAGAATTGTATCTAAATCTATACGTAATGAATTAAATGCTCTTGATGATAAATTAGCTATTAAACTGTATCTACCATTCTAGGAACTATTTATTATGAGTGCATGAATGATTTTTATTTTTAAGAGAGATTTACATATGCAGGTTTTTGCCTTCTGTGAGAATGTGTACTTTATACAGTGTCACACTTGGCCTGGCCAGAGGTGTACTTTGTGAGTTGGATAATAGAAGCAGCAGATAGTCTATTTCACCGCTTACTTGAACACCTTTTGTCAGCATCACCTTGAAAAAGGAACAGCTCTGCTCTCAGCATCCTGATGACGACCCTGCTGTCCATTCAAGGTACAGCAGTTAGGGTCGTCGTAATGGTTATCTCCAAGTAGGAAGAACCAAACTATCACTAAGCAAGTTGTTCAGAAGTCGCCATTAAAACAAGAGAAAAAGTTGCTGAATTAACCATGACTAAGCAAGTTGACCCGCAAAGACGATAAATAAAGTAAAACTGAATTAACTATTGTAAAGAAAAGGGTAACCACTGAACTATTACAAAGAGAGGTAGAGCTTAAATGGCAAATTCATAGACCAATACAGATCATGACCAAAATGGCCGTCTTTGAATAAACATTACCGTAAATAACTGTTTCTGAACGAATATGACCATAATGGTCACATAGATATGTCAAGGAATACGTCAAGGCATACAAAAAGTTCATATCAATACGAAAACATCCAAATTATCGAGGTTATTGGTAGAAGAGGAAAAAGTTCTATAGACTCTTTAATGCCAACCTATTATAATCGAAAAATGGATTCAACTGGTGATCCTCAGGTCTGATTAATGCAAATTTTGTTTCATCCCAAACTAATCAGTGGTCGGTTAAGACAAAGAAAACAGTTAAGAATTGATCTGTATGAGGAAGGATCGACGAGGTTGAAACACACCAACTTATAAGAGGAGAGGATCTTTAGCAGGTAAGGATGGAGGATTACCAGCGGTGCCTGGCGGCTGCTCTAGGTATTCAGAGTTGTATGTTTAGCATCGTGTACGTATTCATTATATTTGCGGCAACTCGTAATGAGCGGTTCTACTCTAACACATGTATCGAGTGTTGAAAATTTCGAGTCAGACTTATTATGTGGCATTGTAGCTGCCTCAATTCAACGAGTATCTAATCCTGACCGCAGCATCTGTGACGGAAGTTGGGAGGAAGCGAAGGGTTTCCAAGTGATGGAGATCCCTTGTGGCTGTCGGGGTGGCGATGGTCGTAAGCGGCTTCTCACGAGTCAAGAGGTCGAAACCTTCAGGAGAAATGTATGACGCCGTAACCTGAATCTTAGAAGGATCGAAGTATTTGCATAGCTAGATAACTTCCACATTTGTTCGGGACATGTGATGACATCACAGTCCAGGTAATTATAGGGTCAGAGGATTTGGATTACTGTGTTTTTCCTCCGGGAGGGAACCGAACACCTTGCTCCTCATATGGGGACCGACAGTCGTCTTGTTAAAACTCTCTGTCCTTCTCCTCTTACACTCAAAGTATTGAAGACCTGAGTCGCTTGAGGCAGGCTGGGCTGGAGTCACATACAACAGACTTGGCGTGAGTCGCATGCGACAAGATGCAAAACGTTTGAAAAAGGCAACAGAAACTTCGAATCTACAAGCGCCCAATTTCAAGAACATCCCACAAACAATTTTAGAGACTGCATTCTTCCAATAAAAAAAAATAAAATAAATTATTCAAATGTTTTGGTAACTGTGTGACGATTTATTTGGATAAGCCAGAGCTGGTGTCTGGTCGGCCGTAGAGGAACACTCGATAACAAAAATAAAACAAAAAACTCAATAAATAAAACTAAAATACTTGAGGGAAATGTAAGAATAATATATATCCAGAACAATGAAAAAAAAAAAGAAAACCCCAGATGTTAGGAGAAAAAACAACCTGCAGTTTGGAAGCGGAAAACGTTGGGAAAATGATCGAAAAATCTCAGGGAGTCACAGGTAGAGAAAGTTAGGCATGTGGGAATAGTGGCGAGAAGGCTAGAACCTCGCCAGCTGGAACAGAAATTTGACGAAATGTAGGATGGCAGGTTTTCCTGACAAGTATGGTAAAAAGGCTCTTGGTTCAGAGCAAATCTCTATTAAAGATGACGCTTCACTCTGTGTAGAGCTTGATCACATAACTTGATAAAGCTCTACTCAGAGCTAAAAGTCCAAAATAAAAGGGTGCTCCTCCCCAAGTTTCTTTCTACCGTAGAAATTTGACGAGTTAATCATTTTTAAGTGTATTGTGTCAATGTTAAACAAGGATGTGTCGTGGGCACAGGGATAGCGGTTAGGTGGTTGATTGGCTTTACAACCTATCTACTACACGAGGGTCATTGATGCTACATGTCACCTGCTTACTACCAGTCAAGAATACTTTAATCCCGAGTATGTGCCTGTGGGGATTAGAGTAGACTCTAAGCGTACATATATACTGAGGTATGCACTCCTCAATGTGTGGGCACTGTTGCTTTCAGCGAACACACATCAAGAGAGTTGTACTCATCGGAATATATGCAAAGTGTCGGGCGTTGAAGGAAGGGCTTGCTTTCTGTCCTCTTGAATGAATTTGTTGAAGGTTTCTACTATAGCAGCGTATAGGTGGATAAGTAATTAAAAACAAACAGGGAAAAAAGAGCTGTTTATTGTTCTTTTGTTTACACTAATGCATTTTACGAACCCTTGAGACCGATGCTATCAGATGCTATAAAGGTTGTATGCGTGAGGCCACTGAACGCATACCTGTTCTAAAAAACCCATTCGATTGGATTATTTAAAAGGTATGTTTGTTAATATTCTTAATAAAAGCTCCCTTGGGTGAGGAATGTCAAAATTAGTGGTAGGTGGTGGTATTGGTGGTGGTATTGGTGGTGGTATTGGTGGTGGTATTGGTGGTGGTGGTAGTAGTAGATTGTGGAATTGGTTGGTGGTAATTAGAGAAGGCAGGGTGAGAGGATCGAGGTGGTAGCTGGTAATGATAACCTGAGGTAATGAAGCATTTAAACCTGCAGATGGGTGACAAAAGAGAAGAAGAAGAAGAAGAAGAAAAAGAAGAAAAAGAAGATGAAGAAGAAATAAAACTTCATTTGATATATTAACCTCTTTGGGTTTATAAACCAGAACCCTTGAAAGCCAGTTATAGTGGCTTTCGTCCACTGGGGGTCTTGTAGTTTTCCATAGTAGGTGACTGACAACAGTTTAGTAATACCTCCGTAACTATGTACTACCGGGTGAAGAGGGACAGCTGGTGTTAGGAAACTTGCCCGTACATTTCACCCTTTCCCGAGATTGAGCTCGGGCAATTCTGTTGTGAGCCGACCGCGCTTCTACTGAGCTATATGTGAAGAATAATTTGATTTAGTAGATGAAGATAGTAATCGTTAGAGAGGTGGTGGACGGTGGTAGAAGGATAAAGTAGAATAAGAAGAGGGAATGAGAAGGGTTTATTACAGCAGATGATGGTAACAATGGTAGTGATAGCAGATGATAGTGATGGCTAAGCAGCTGATAATGGTGGTAGTGGTGAGAGGTAGTAGTTGATGCTAACTGGAAGATACTCTGGTAGTTGCATGTTATAGTAGTTGTAGTAGCAATAATTGTGGTAGACTCGGTAGAAACAGGAGATGGATGAGGAGGGGGAGAGGATAAGGAGAGGAGGGAGATATAGAATGACAATTAGTAATGGTACTGTGGTAGTAGTATTAGTGATAGTGGTGGTAGTGGTGGTGGTGGTGGTGGTAACCTCTCGCACCTGACTTGGTCCATCGGATTCAGGACCATCGCCAGAATTAGATCCTCCGGATGGCGACATTGCTGCTGCCCTGCCTGAGTTGGTAGCGGCTGTGAACGATCCCTTACCCTGGAAAAGGCACAACAACACGGCCAAACATATTTCTGGGTTCTGTCTTGGGCTCTCTCTCTCTTTCTCTCTCTCTCTCTCTCTCTCTCTCTCTATTTCTCTCTCTCTATATATATGTATATATATATATATATATATATATATATATATATATATATATATATATATATATATCACGGAGCATTCCTCTTTTTTCCCTTTTGGTTTAAGAGAAGAATAAATGAAAAAAAAAAGAAGAAAAAGATATTTGCTCATCGAAATATTTGATTTACGTATATTTACGTATAATTTTAACAAATGTTCAGCTTAAAGGTGTTGCCAAGCTTTAGCCAAAGTTCTACTTGTATTTTGCAATACTGAAATTGCTTGACACCTCTTATCAATAAGCTACAACAAAATCTTCAAAGCAAAGATAATCAGTGGACTGAGAACCTTCAAAGAGCGGTTAGTGGCTCTCACCAAACAGGCAGAAATTTTATTTCTATACTAAGGTTTACAAAACCTTGGAGTACAAGCTTGGCAACAGCGGAGGTTCAGCATGAGGTTGGACCTGGCTTGTACCGGACTTGGGTCCCATGTCTAGTACCGTACCCTGTTCAGCCCTAAGCCCACCTTGGCGACCACGGTCATTCATTCGACTGGAAAAACGGGCAGCATAATAAATTTTTTTAATATGGGACATGATTCGTTCGCTGGCATGTAGTGTCTGTCATTCCGTGCAAGAAGAAAAAAACTAATAATGCTGAATAAAGCATGCAACGCAGTATCCACTCAAAGTTAGACTAGCACTTGAAGGGTCTTGAACACGAAGACAATAACAGAGTTATGAACAAGACAGTTTTTTTTACTTTCTCTTAGTGAACATTATTTATGCACAGAAACAAATTAATTAACTATGCAACATATATGAATGTTATTTAATTACACTCAGGTGCAGTTCATTTAATATTGAAGAATATAATGTACATACAGAAAAATAATCACACTGAGAAGAGAATGCCGCCCTAGGTCCCGTTTAGGTTGTTGGTTGGCTAAAAAAATATAAAACAAAAAAGAACCGCTAAGTTTCTAAAAAACCAGGAAGGTATGGGCAGGTGGTAGAGCCTTAAACCTTTAGTGCCCGCAGGTGTGCCAATACCATGTAAGGTAGGTATGTGTGAGCGCGAGAAAAATTATGTCAACAGCGTGGAAGATCAAGATCGGTACTAGGGTTGTGCTGGGGAAGCAGCAACCCCGGTCAGTAGTAGTAGTAGTAGTAGTAGTAGTAGTAGTAGTAGTAGTAGTAGTAGTAGTAGTATTAGTAGTAGTAGTAGTATTAGTAGTAGTAGTATAGTAGTAGTGGTAGTAGTAGTAGTAGGAGTAGTGGTAGTAGTAGTGGTAGTGGTAGTGGTAGTAGCAGAGCAGCAGCAGCAGCAGCAGTAGTCTCATCAGCAGCAACAGCATCATCATCATCAGCAATAGTGGAGTTAATTGTACAGTGGCCACCCAGATTACTTTCAGAGTTGGGCCAAGCAGTAGAGGAAGAAAGACAGGATAGTAAAAGAAAGGGGTGACCGTCGGCAGTCTACCGTACATAGACATTTTCAGCACAGACGACAATGCTATTTAGGGAGCTTCGGGAAGAGATCCGTTTTGTCTTTAATTTTCATTTAGTTTATTAAGGACAAATTTAATGTCTGTTTATTTAGACGCAGAAAATAAGATTATGAAAACCCAGTGACAAATTACAGTAGATGAACAAGTGTAACATTGAGCAAAGACTCATACAACGGGTCATTCTTGTAATTAAATCAGCCTGAAGAATGTCTATGCTGTATTTCTTCATGAGAGTCGCAAAATGTGAGTCTACTGGTATAAGCTAATGAAGTCCTCGTGATTTATTTTTTTTTTTTTTTTTGAAAAAGAGTGATCTTGCTAAAAATAAGAAAAAGGTGACAAAACTAGCCGAGTGTACCTAGGACTCAACTGGAAAAGTCAACATGTGCAATATATATATATATATATATATATATATATATATATATATATATATATATATATATATATATATATATATATATATATTATTTTTGCAACAGAAACTTACAGTGCTGAAATAGCTGCCTACATAGGCCCACACGGTCAGCGTGAACACACACACAGCAGAGTGCCAACACACAACACAGTGCCAACCACTCACAGATTTAAACACTAACGACGCATATGGGACTATGCAGCAGCACATGCACTTACAACTTTATTTACTAATAAAAAAAAGAGGAATAAATGAAGATATAGAGCAAAATTAAGCAATAATATTCACTTTTCTTCAGTTCGAGCCGCAATGGTGGTAACAAAAAAGGAACAAAAAAAATATATGGAAACGAAAAACGCGCATTGAAAGCTTTAATTATACATGCAGTCGCTGTACTGAGCAAGCTTTTCTATGGTATGAGCAAGATTTTCTATGGCTCGAGCAAGCTTCACTATATTTTGAGCAAGCTTCACTATACTTCTCGGACTACCTTCCCTAATTCCCCCACCCCAACACCCTCTACGTGAACACTGACAGTTTCTTAACCCAGAAATATTTGCATGTTGTCTATGCCTTTGCTTCCTCACTGAGGTAAACAAAAAACCCAAAGAAATCATAAAAAACAATAACAATAAAATTAACACTAATAAAATTAACATTAATAAAAATTAACAGATATAAGAGGAAAACAATTAATTAAAATAAAAAGATTAATAAAAATAATAATAATAATAATAATAATAATAATAATAATAATAATAATAATAAATATAAGACAATTAATGGTAAAGACCTCTACATCACCAATACCTCTTGGCTTCCAAATACATAATGCCTTACCTTAGCTTAGTATACTTAACTGGTGTGTGCTTTGAGGAGCGAGTAAAAAGCGAGAGGACCCAATCATTACACAGATGTATGATCATATATATATATATATCTATATATATATATATTTATAAATATATATATAAAAATAACTAAGTGATATCTACTTTGAATTCAGAAGAGGAGAGTGTGGGAAGAGAGTGTTTTTAAGTCTCGGTCCTCGGAAAGACAGCGTACAGAAGGCATTTTTCTCAGTTGACATGACCCTAAGAAAGATGAGAAGATTTAGAGATAGACCGTGGAAGCAGTTGGGTTTGCATAATGGTTGTGTGTGTGTGTGTGTGTGTGTGTGTGTGTGTGTGTGTGTGTGTGTGTGTGTGTGTGTGTGTGTGTATGTGTGTGTGTGTGTATGTGTGTGTGTGTGTGTGTGTGTGTGAGTGCTCCCTTGAACGCGAGCTTTAAGGTGTCCTTGTAACACTGGAGAACGTACGGGTGTGCATAGAACATGGTACGTATATCTGTACAAAATGATTGGGATGTACACAAAAGAATTTAGTGTACGAGTCTGTTCAACATGGTTTGGGTGTATGTAGATTTTCATGGTGCGAGTGCCTGTATAACTCTGCATGTACACAAAAGACCATGGTGTGCATGTTTGTACAAGGCTCAGGTCTACACGAAAGAACGTTTTTTGCGTGTCTGTACAACATGGAAGAGTGTACACAAAATGGTGTGAGTTGTACAAGTTTAAATGTACATAGCGTGAGGTGTAGACATTTGGATGTACACAGACTTACATGACATTACTTGTTGACGTTCCAGCGCACACAGACTTTCATGGTGTGACGTGTTGATGTTTATCGTGTACAGAGAGAAGCACTGTGTATGTATCAATAGGATAAATATACTTTTTTACAGACACGTACGAATGTGACAATCAGGAAGGTGTTGGCACACACTAGTGTGTATCTTCAGTGTTCCTATATGCACGGTGTAAGACAGAGAGCGATGTGCCTCCTGATATTCCTGTTGGGGTATCGCTGTTCCGACAAGCGATGGACAAAGAATGCACAGAAAAAGAACTTCTTTTAATATTTCGATTTTTCACCATTACTAAGTTCTACCACGTTTTGATGAAGACTTTTTTTGGTGAAATTTCGTAAATATAAAAGCTTTCTTTTAGATATACGTGTCTTTTTAAGTTCCTAATATTCCTGTATGTCCAGGAACGTAGTGTATTGTCGTGTATAGGCATGGAGCAGGAAAGAGTACATGTCAAGGACGCCACTTCAAGGACTGAAGGTGTTCAACGCAAAATAAACTTGAATGTGCAGTTACTGTGGTCCCAGAAGGGAGGTGTGGGTAGTTAAACAGGTGTGTGTGTGTGTGTGTGTGTGTGTGTGTGTGTGTGTGTGTGTGTGTGTGTGTGTGTTGAGCCACGGTGTCGTATTTCTGTTGAGGCTAAACCTACCTGAGCAAGTGGATTGGACGAGTGTGGGGAAGTGTTTGGCGTGGGTGTAAGTGGTGGTGGTAGTGGTGGTGAGGGTACTGGTGGTGGTAGTGACGACGAGGGTACTGGTGGTGGTGGTGACGACGAGGGTACTGGTGGAGGTAGTGACGACGAGGGTACTGGTGGTGGTGGTGACGACGAGGGGAACTTGAGATAGTGGCGGCTGGTAGGTGGAGGGGCGGGTAGAATAATAAGTGATTACAGTTGTGGTGGTGGTTACATTGATGGTGGTGGTGGTTACAGTAGTGGTGGTGGTGGTGGTGGTGGTGGTGGTGGTTACAGTGGTGGTGGTTACAGTGGTGGTGGTTACAGTGGTGGTGGTTACAGTGGTGGTGGCAGTGGGTGGCCAGGAAGGGACGGGTTGCAGTTGACTTGCACTTGATCAAAGCACAAAAAATGATGCTAGGAGTAGCAACCTTGGCTCATGTTCATCCTTTGGTGGACCAGCATGTATTTCAGAGGAGCAGGAACACCTCCTCCTCCTGAGGCCTTCACGCTACCACATTTCTGATATCTTAATGATACATTAGAGCAATACATAACACACAGAGAAATAACATTATTTTGATAAAAAAAAAATCCCAAGTTGGAGGTGTATACAGGGCAACTTTATGAATTAACACATGATTCTAGAGATTTGTACACCGGCGGCATGTATCCCCTGGTCCTGGTCTTGTGCACAGTCATGCGGTTTGAAGGACCTGGTTCCACCAGCTTACAAGTTTTAGGGCAAAGATAACATGAAGACTACATGTGGGGATCAGTCCTCGGGATGCTGAGCCAGTGTGCATGTGAGGGGGGGTCAATTACAAGACGGACACTGCATGGTCGCCACATAGTATATTATGGTAATATGGTGGTAAGGCTTAGTACCATGAGCACTTCAGAAACTGAGCTGATACTCAGAATGTGCATCGTAACTCCGACAATCACTGGAGAACCTGTAAAGAAACAACCCATACAAACAACGCTAGAGTTACTAAGGTAAATGCTGTACAAAGAAAAAAAAGATGGTACCCGACGGAGGAGCACCTGGCAGGTGTGTGTGGCTGGCGACTGCAGGACTCGACCGGGTCTCGGACTTCTGCTTCACCTTCTACAACAAGCTTCCTCTGCCGTGGCTTGCTTGCTGGATCACATGCCCCTCCCCCACCCTTGCAATCTCTCTCTTAAGTGATTTAAAGAACTCTTCAAGCCCCGGTCTGAGGCTCCTGTGCACAACCACCCAAACACAACATTAAGGGGCCTCCAGAAGAGCACCATAATAGGTACAGAGAGGTTCACTTTACTGTTAAGTAGCACATTGCAGGCACGCAGCCTCGGTAGCTGGCCACAGGGGAAGAAACAGAAAATAAAAATAAAAATTATCTGAACCCTTAAATGATGTACAAAGGAGGTAATAATGAAAAAAAGGAGGAATTACGTATCAGTTGAAGTAACAATGATTTTTGGAAACTGGAATGCAATAAGATATCAACAGAGCAACAAATGACATATTTGAGAGGAAAGGAGGAAGGGACTATATCACAGAGGGGTCCAGACAGGCAAAGATATCACGCAAACAAGCAAAGAAAACATATGTTCTAGAGATAATTCGATGCCGAATTAAAAATAATAATAATAATAATAATAATAATAATAATAATAATAATAATAATAAAAAACAGCAGTGGGATTATGAGTTGCAAAAGATACAAAAATTTGACTATGTACATTGTCAGGGTTCTGACCTGTCTCCCTTACCTGCACGCCTACACTGATGGAGATGCATAAAATATTTCGCTAAAAACTGCCAGAAGCAATGTGCAACAAAAGAAGGGTAAACAAAGTTAAGAACAGCAGGAGTAAAGATGGAAAAACGGGAAAGGAAAGAGTGAAAGTCAGAGTAAATACGGGTGATAGGCAATGAAAAGCGAAGACTTATGTATAGAGGTATGACAACTCCAGGACATGAGAAGCAAATGTGAAAAGACATGGTTAAGGTAAGCCAGAAAAAAACGTAGAAATGGGATATCCAGATCTGGGGTGAGCTATGGCATGCTGGACATAGAGGTGGTCTGTGATACAACGATAAGAGGATCAAGACATGTTGAACAAGGAGGTGGAAGTGGTAATACAGGAAGTGTTAAGACACAGGTCTGCGGTACAGTATGGATTAAGGAATAAAGTCAAGTTGATCAAGAAGTTGGTCAGTATTACAGTGAGGATCAAGGGATGAAGGCATGTTGAATATGGATTTGTGTGTAATACAGTGTGAATTCTGCATTAAAGCTAAGGTGACTGTAATGAGGAAGTGGACTGGGAAATGCGTAATTTGGGAGGCGGAGTAAGAGATGAGACAGCAAGGAGAGAGTAAGAAGAACTATGTGAGTAGAAGCATTACGAAGGAGGAACTGGAAGAGTAGGTACAAGAGAAGACTATGCATATTTAGGATTATATATGAACTCATGGGAAGTAGAGAAAGCTGTGTATATCTAGCATTTAGGTGGCGTACAGAAATTTGTATATAAGTGGTGTACATGTGGCGTACAGGAGGTAGTCACAAGGTGGTAGTTTGAAGAACAGGATAGTTTAAAGGAGATGCTCAGGCGATGGTAGACTAAAAGGTTGACGGAAGCAAATGGTAGTCAACATTAGTTGTAGAGATGATAAAGGGCTTCAGGTATTAAAGTAGTACTAATTTAGAGCGTGTTACGGAAGGTGGGGTACAGAGGAAAGTGGTGGGTTAAGGAGAGGAAGACGGGGACCAGGGAAGAAAACACAAGAACAGACGTGGGTCTTAAGAAAGAGACGACAGCGGTAGAGGCCTGCGTGCTTGCAGTTCTTCTCATTTTATTTTGAGGGGGGGGAGAAGTATTTTCACGAGATAACATACTGAATCTTTTCTCTTTTTTGATCAATAGGTTTGTAGTACATGAAGCCAGCTGTTGGGAAATAATAAATTCAGATTAAGAATTCTATTAAATGTCAATATTAAAAAACTCTGCTCTAGGTAACAGCTACCACAACTAAAGGGATTCCTCTCTGTACTTTCTGTTCATTAGAAATAGCTGAAACATTCAGGAATTATATGAAATTTTGGAAAACTATCTGTAAATTGGCCATATATTTATCGCACGGTAAAAATTTGTGTAGACTATGAATACATATAATACATATTTGGACACATCTATGAATGGAACTATTTTGGTTTTTTTCAAGAACATTCTTCGAGAAATGATTTACTTGAGATGTTTCAGCATTACATGAACAAATTCATTAAGTCTGGATTCAATCAGTACAAAATTTGATTCATGCAACTGAATGATATCAGACGTCTTTGAATCCAGACTTCAGGACTGGAAGTCAGCGTCTAGCGTTTGTCAAGAAGTGTTCCCAACGACGCAACAGAAGACAAACGTTGAGACGCCCCTCTGGTCCCCGTCGGTCGGCCAGTGAGCAGAACTTAGCCGGACATTCCTTGGAAAGAGCCATCCAGGACAGAGAGGAGGCTGGGTCACCCTCTCGGTAACACACTGAGATCACCCTTTCGGAGGCTGACAAGTTTTTTTTATTTGTTTTCATTATGGTCTTTTGGTGTCCTGGGCAGAGTTGGAGTCGCTGTTGGCCTCGAAAGCCACCCAGGAACCCAGCAAGACGCTACAAATGCAGGCAAATCAAGCACGCAACAATACTTCCCATCCTCGACTCGGGTTACCTTGATATGCATGATAAACATTGCGTAAACATAAAAACAAGTGCCGGTAACCCAGGCCGAGGATGCTTGCTGAGGGAGCGTCCGTCAGAGATACCTTAGAGACGTTCCCTGCGCAAGGCGACCAAAAGGGGACATAAAACTTTTCGGCCATTGTTCCGCACCTCTCTTGCCAGCTGGACCGACCGACGCCTTAACTCTACTGCCTTACTAGTGGTACTTAGGAGCGCGACAACGAGGAGCACATGTATGTACCATTTGAACTTCAGAGAGCGAGCTAATACTGAGAATATGCATCGTAATACCGACGTCCACGTGCGATTCTGCAAAGACAGATAGCATCGGCCCGGCTTCAGCGACAACAAGCCAACACACGACATACATTTCATAATAGTTACAGTGGAACGTTCTTCTTTTTTCATTTAAAGCAAATGTAAGTGCAAAAAAAAAAAAAAAAAAAGAGAGAGAAATCCAGAGCTCCGTAGTAGATTTGAATGATCTGTGGAAGTCTAAAATGTAAACAGTCGACTTGGTTTGCAGAATCAGCCATGGAAAAAACATAAAATGAATTTATAATGCAGCGCTCCAGAGATTCTTTTACAAACTTTGTCGCCTTGCTGCATATATTGCCTTTAATGGGAAAATTCGTCTGCAACTTGCAACACAGAAGAAAAGAAGCAAGTTTCTGAAGAATTATTTGGACAATGTTTCGCTTTTGGCAGAATTTTACGACAGAACGAAACATTGTGCCAATAATAGCTTATTTTGCAACTTTTCCTCAATACTGTCAACGGAAGGCTATTTGTATCGAACTTAAAACAGCTTTGTGGACGCTCAAAGTTAATTTTCCTTTTTATTAATTTTAATTGCTATCTGTCCGGGAGGTGTCTTGATGCTGGTGAAGGATTCTTGAACAAAGGAATTGGAAATACCTTCCCTTTCTTCAGATCAAACCTGTCTGCCTCCCATTCCCCGGGTGCTGCATGTATCAATTACGAATTTAGCGTTTCCCCATTAATGAATAGTAATTATAGTAATCTCATTCTCTAATTAAGTTAATGAGATGTATTTTTTTTTGGGGGGGGGATTACGAGAGATATAAAATACACTTTATGGGCAATTAAATACTCTAAGCTGCAGGCGGTTCAGATCCTACTCTTGCACAAGTTCTGAGCTCCTGCAGGGCTTCTAACGCTTCCTTTTCAGCCGTATATACTATCGGGAGGTCCTAAAAGGTGATTTTTACTTCGGTAGGTGCCAGTGTGGGATCAATATATAGCTCATTTCTGGATATCTTACACACTAGCGATAACACATTCAATTCCCAGCACAACATTACTTGGCGAGCCTGGCCCATTGCCGGGCTCCTGGAGAAGAAAAACTTTCGAAACTCATCAAAGGTGTATTATTCAATCCCCGTGACCCTTAACATTATCAGCAGCCTAGCCCATAATTGACTGGGCTGAATGATCCATGCGGGATTAACTCCTCATGAAGCACAATCTACGATTAGTTGGTACCTCATTCACTCCCTTGGACCAGAAATATCCAATTTTTTAACTCTTTGGCTAGTAAAGGAACCACATTCATGAATCTCCAGAGGTTTTTCTGATATCTTCTGTTAAGATGTTACATAATCTGGGCCCACTGATGTTGATACAAAGCTCTCCTATTGTGACCACGGCATCCCTGCCATTCATTGGCTATATTTTACATATCCCATATGTGTCAGTCCGGAATGTTGTTACAGTAGTGTACATATTTGGGACTAGGCCTTCAAGTACCATGCAAGTATATTTTCATGTATGTCTCTCTTTCCTCCGCTTTAGTGATGGAAGCTCGATCCTCCGTCTGTGGAATAAATACTCAACTTTGTTAAGTACTACAGTCAGCCATATTGTAAGTAGGCACCGTAGTTGACCATTCAAGATCCCGCAACACTTTATTATTATTATTATTATTATTATTATTATTATTATTATTATTATTATTATTATTATAATAATTATTATTATTATTATATTTTCTTTTTATATGGAGAGCTAAAGCCGTATGGGTCATTCAGTGCAAGGACTAGAGGAGGCTCAATCCTCCATCCAAGTATCGCCAGGAACAATTATTAAGATTTATTACAATGACTGTCTTCTTGCGATACTGTAAACTCCTCATTCAACTCCCTTTGATTCTTACACACCACTGAGATGTGAATTAAGACTCGGGTGCAACGCATTTTTGTATGTGGCAACGTTTCACTCATCGTAGAGCTTTACCGAGTTAACGACCTCATAAAGCTCTACACAGAGCGAAACGTTGTCAAAAATATACACTTGCTATACACATCTCTCCTTTTCATTACTGTCTGCAGTATATCTCTGCATTTGTCATTACAATTACCAAATTTGAGACATAAGATTTTTGTGAATATTCCTGATTGTATGCAATACCAAATTGATGGTTAAGACCTGGGTATCTTTATGGTAGAATAAAGATACCCCAGTGTTGCGCTTATGCCCTTTTCCAACAGCTTGTACCACCTGACACGCGTCAAGCCTCATTCATGGCAGACGAGGGCCTCTTTGAGACACTAGGATAATAGCAAATTACGTTAACTTAATGGTGAATTTAGGGAGGACAAAGATGCCCCGAGGGAACCACTCCTCTTCTTTCATAATGGTTCCAAGGTTATATTAGAGGTCTTGACACTTTGGAATTAAAAAGTTGGTAAGAGATGTAAAAATCATTACTTTGAGGTCAGAAACTCTAATATCCAGATACTGATTGTTATTATTAATATTATTATTATTATTATTATTATTATTATTATTATTATTATTATTATTATTATTATTATTATTACTACTACTATTATTATTATTATTATGGGGAAGCGCTAAATGTAATGAATTATTCATATTGTCGTTTGTACTCTTGGTTTTACTGATGAAAATAATGTTCAATATTCTTGTAACTGACGGAGAGGTACGGGAGTGAGGTTGACAGCTGTTGATATAAAGTTAGACTATGCAAAACAAGCTTTTGCTGGGGATATTGTTTCTATGAGGGATGAACTTCCTCCAGTTGATGATAAAAGCTCAGCCCAGAAAGAAACGACGGACCAATAATGGTTTGTTATGTATGTTGTATCTTTATAAACAAGATCCTGAAATTATTCTCTATTTGATGTAGCTTATTGATCACTAGTAAAACGTAAGTTTCTCTTTTGAATTCTAGAGCTCCGAAGAGTATGACTAAGAATTATATTTAAATTGAAGTTCCGGCGTATTTCACGCATTTAGAAAATCTGAGACAAGAATAAAGGCCACTTTTTTTTTTTACTGTTAGTTTGTGTCACCAACGTAAACGACGTTTTATCGTGACGACGTTCCGCTCTGCGTAGCGCTTAAATCAACAGTATCAACGTCAGATCTCTGGATTTAGTTGGCTATAAGCAAGTTAGTAATTAAGTGAAGCGAGCGTCGTAAGCATAGCGCTGGGGCAGACTCTCTCAATTAAGTCGTAACTGTGTGTATACGTTGTTCAGGCTTCTGGATAAATTACCTCGGCAACTACAGATCTGTTAAGGCTCTCTGGATTTAGTAACAAGCAAGTTTAGAAGACTGACTCCTGGATCAAGGCTGCAATGCTAGGCGTTACAACTCATGCAGAAGGCGGGGCAGGAGGAAAGAGCGACCCTATTGCAGAAGGCAGATTTTTTTTAAGGGTCGTTTACCTGCTGGTTCATCAGGAGTTTGCACTCCTGAATGTATGGAGGTTTAAACCCTTTTAAGGACGTTCCACTGTATTAGGAGGGGAAAGTTGATAGGTTCTGAAGAGCGCTGTGGAGGCTGATGGTGGTGAGATGGATGTGATGATGGTGGTGGCGAGTATGGTGGTTACTTGGCTGTGGTGACGAGGATGATGATGGTGGTGGTGGTGGTGGTGGTGGTGGTGATGATGGTAGTGGAAAATGGAGATAGCAGTGATAATGGATGGTACTAGTGGTGATGAGCTGGTGATGCTGGTGATGCCATGGTATGTTGACGATTATGATTATGATGATAAAGACGCATTATGAAAGCAAATCATTATGATCATGTTAATAATAATCATGAGAATATAACAACTTTTACGATGTTCATGATAATGATAAGGATGACGATGATAATGAATATAAAGAGGATCAAAATAATGATAAAGGAGATAATGATGATGTAAAAGCAGAAAAGATAAAAGATATCACTAAGTGAATGAAATGCGATCCTGACAAAATAACTTTTGATATCGCCCCTTATTACACACACATAAACACACATAAACACACATAAACATACACAAGAGAAGACACGACACGATAATCTGACAATACTAAGCATAATTAACTAGCCTGGAAATAATATTAATTAGAATAATAATAGATCAAGTTATTTAGGGAAAAATTCTGTAAAACATATTGTGAATGTTACTAAAGTAATGTGATATAATATTACTTACTTGAATCTGCTAGAGACGTCATGACTTCAACACCAATCAGGTTGGCATCACTAAATTCGAGGTATCAGATTGGCTTGCCACTCAGAGGCTGCTTTAAGTAGCAGTATATTCATCAATATTGAATAATTTGCAACCCTGATAAGTTATTAATTGATACTGAACGAATGAATATCAAAATTGATTGTTGAATATTTCTGTCTAACATTGCACAGTATTTTGAAATATAAGACAACATTGTCTATTGTTAACTAGATGAATTCTACCCCAAATGTTGATGAAGTCTACTCCGAAAGTTTGAAATGATGAAAAAAATGATGAAAACACGATGGAAAAACTGTATGAATGATGAATGAATGTTGATTGAATGAAGCAAAAAGTGATTATGAACTCATGATGAATAAAAGTTGAAAAAATTAACTGATTTGTTGATGGTGAATAAGAGGGTCATCACGTGAAGAAATTATGAGCAAATGGTGAACAAATGGCGAACTGATAACGAGTAATGATAAATTGATGAACGAATTATGGAACGAAAGGTAAATGAACAAATGACTGTATGAGGATACCTGTTAGTGCTGAACAATTTACGTGTCTTTATTTACTTTTAAAATCTGTAACCCTGTTCAGTGTAATAATTGTTTTTATTCACCTCTATTCCTCTTCATCTCTAATCACCAAGAACTATTTATTTTAATATATATATATATATATATATATATATATATATATATATATATATATATATATATATATATATATATATATATACACAAACACTGATCTCTGGCTGAAGGAGACTCGAACCTACGAACCTTAGGACAAGGTACGCAGT